AAAAGAAGAAAATTAGAGGGTGCAGACTCTAATGTTAAAAGAAATTAAGGAGAAGGCATAGAACAAAATAAGCCAGATATCGACACCGGCATCGGGGTAAGATATATATAACTTTGACATCGACTTAGGCAGCGCACCTACAAAAATTGCCCACCCTGTAATTTTTCTACTGATAATAAAACCGCGTTGTAATTTTAGTTTAGATTAAAATAACAGTATATCAGAAAATTTTACAAGAAGCATTTTTTAATTTACTGCAAAAGGTGGGTTTTTAATTAAAATTTCGTGTTATTTCTGTTTTGTTGTAAAAAGTGGTTTCGCTTCGATGCTTATGTTACACCTGATCTTGGTAGAAAATCACGTAGAGAAAAATCTTTGTGGATGCGCTAGGACATTTAAAGATTTTTTCATAGTATTTATTTACTCATTTGTTAAATAGAAAAGAAGATCAACCAGGAGCAGACTCTGTACTGTATCTCACCATCCGTAACATATCCGTGAGATTAGGGATAGGAATCGGCTATATGATTTAGTTGACTAAAATCAACTAAACATAGTAATCTACATATAAATTTTTTAGTCGACTAAATCGATCTATCTGTTATATTGGCAACTTTTTCACATTAAAGTTAATATTAAGGTTAAAATTAGGGTTTGAGAAGGGTAATGTACAGTATGTTAAGAAAATCTTTGGACGATATCACGTGTAAATTTTTGATCAGCATAACTTTTTATTTTTGGTTAGTATTATGTTAAACAAAATAGTATTTATTGATTATCAGACTGATCTCTTTTTTTTTAGAATGTGTTTAAGGTTTTTGCCTTTTTTTTTTTTTAATAATCGATTAAAATGGGAACCTATCAAGATGTGCATGCAAAGTTTGTTCAACAACTTTGGGACAGAGGAATACGAGGTGCAAGTGAAATCTACAAGCGAACTGGTGTACCAAGGTTCACTATCTATTATAACATTTCTAAACTAAAAAAAAAAGGAAATGTAGAGCATCGTAAGCACAGTGGTCGCCTCCAAAAAATCTCTTCGCAAGTCTCCCGGTTCCTAGTCCAGCAA